TTAAGCTGTTTGTAACACATAAGCGGTAGTAAGCAGATGGAACCAGTTTACATGAATCCATTCATCTGAATTCTTCTTGAAAGAGGACTKTTATAGTAAGATGTGTTTTGCTGAAGCCTTTAATGTCATTGTAATAGAAAGAGAACAGTATAGAAAGAAATGTCTAATTGGATTCCCAAAATTGCCRTGTGGGGATTTGGCAGTTTCTCCCAGTCAGCACTGACAAAGCCACAGTTCACRAGTTCTAGCCGGAATCTCCTGGCTCAGTGGCTGCTCCATCTATGAGGAGCATGCTCAGACTGGATGGTGGAGGTTGATACTGAAACAACAATCCACAAGCCAAACTATACAGAGCCAGAGACCRGACAGAAGGGTCTGTCTTCATCTTCATCCCATATGGATGGCCTGTGAGAGCAGCAGTAGTGTGGCCAGCAGGACCAGGACAGTGACTGTTCCTCTGTGCTGGGCACCACTGGCTTCCGTTCTGGGCCCTCACTTCAAAAAGGGCAYTGAGGTGCYRGAGAGTGTCCAGAGAAGKGAAACAGAGCTGGGGGAGGCTYTGGAGCACAAATCTGATGAGAAGCAACTGGGGGATCTGGGAGTGTTTATCCTGTGGAAAAGGATGCTCAGGGCACACCTTGTCACTCTCTACAGCTCCCTGGAAGGAGGGTGCAGCCAGGTGGGAGTCAGTCTTTTCTGTGTCTCAAGACAAAGGATCAGATGACACTAAGTTATGCCAGGAAGGGCTCATACTAGATATCAGGAAAAAAACATTTCTCTGAAAGGGTGATCGGGCATTGGAATAAGCTGTCCAGAGAGATGGTGGAGTCACTGTCTCTGGAAGTGTTCAGGAGGCATCTGGATGTGGCATTTGGGAATATGTTTGTGGGTGATTATTGTGGTGCTGGGTTGACAGCTGGACTTGCTGATCCTGAAGGCCTCTTCCAACCTTGATGATTCTGTGATTGTCTCCCTTACTGAGACTTTTGTCTCCTTCTGTTCTTCCTGGGCATGTGAAACTGTGCTATGCAGGCACTTGACCTGCTTTCCAGCAGTGCTGTTTCCAGTTCTGGAAAGTGTTAGGGCCACCCCATGCCTGTCCTCCTCCTCTGGCTTTGGTCGTGAGTCCCAGCAAATCTGTGCTAAAGCCCTGATGGCAAGGTTGGCAAGCCTGTTGGCAGGGACACTCCTGATGAACTTTCACAAMCACATCACCTCTTGCCTTYCAGCCCTCATTTATGACTGGGGATRCRTTATCTGTTTTGAGACCTGACTGGGTCTTCAGTCTGCTGACTGATCCCTGAACCTCTTCTTCACAGCCAGAGAAAATAGAACTGAGGGAGCAGCAGCTCCTGTGCCAAGGTGGCACTGTCTCAGGTGTGCTGTGCAGAGGAGCCTGCAAGAGCTCATTCTCTGGTGACAGAAGACATGGAGGCCACGGAGAGAAGGGGCCCTGGGACACCACAAAGCTCTCTYGAGCCATGGTGTACCCCCAGCCATCCCCAGCACACTGAGTGCTGAGTTGYACTGCCATGTCCAGCATGCCCTTGCTGGGAAAAGCATCCCACTCCCACAGCATTCATACATTTCTGGAGCCAGGAACCCAAACAGCTCCTGCTAATTTGGAGAGGAAGCTCTAGCAAATGACAAGAAATAAACACATCCAATTTGTGGCTGTTTTTTAGACAGTACCACACAGGATGAAGTCCTAGCTGCAGTCKGTTTGGCTCCATGGGCTGGCAGGCCAGCATTCCCCACCCTGGCAGCCAGCACATCTCCCCTGGCCACGTCCCCTCCCAGTGCCTGCCCTGGCTCTGCCCTCTCCCATACAACCACTGACACTGCTTCCCACCACCTTTTCCTCTCCTACCTAACGGTGCCTGCAGGATCCCAGATACCTGTAAAAATCCACATTTCAGAGGACRGGGAGGGTCATTAAAAATGATCAAGACTGCCCTCTTGGCATCTYGGCACATGGCTGTGTCAAGAACAGAGACTTTACAGCCACTCCTCGTTCCCCAGACAATTCCAGCACTTTACAATCATCTTTAGGGAGGCCTCTCTGAGGAGCAGCTTCCTGAAACCTTCTCCTCTCTGGTTTTGGCTCCCTCCTCTTTGCCCCCTTCGTTGAGGACAGATTGTTCTGGTTTTTGTTGAAGCAAGCTGCAGAGTGTTCTTGTTCTATTCTTTGCTACTTCCCCCACTTCACAATGATTAATGACAGCTTTTCATCATCAAAAGGTATTTGATCCTAATAAAACTGGGCCCGTTTAACTGTTTTCTTCTGTGGACAAAAGAGGGAGAGGGTTGAGCACAGAAGTTTCTCATACATGTCAGACCTCCACTGCATTGTTTCGCTGTGGTTGACAGAATATTGCCAATATTTTTGGGAAATGTAGTAGAGTGAAAAAAATCCTAACACACACAACATTGTTTTTCCCACTTGGCCTGAAATACTCAAGAACTTAAATTGTCATTATTTCAAGGCACAGAATAAAAATAATACATTTTTAGCAAACATTAGTTGCTTAACTTCTTTAAAACTAAAACATCTAGTGTTTTCATTTTCCATTCTCCAACTGAAAACAGACTTGTGGTAGATTTTCAAGAAAAGAAAAAAATTCAAAAAATAACTGCCTCCTCTTCTAGAATACTCCCGGTCTCAAGTCACCTTCAAAAAAACTTGTCAAATGCATTTAGCAGCTGACAGTAAAAAAAAAAAAAAACAACTGTTTATTCTTCTTCGAAAAGAAAGCAAAAGGTAAGTAAAGGTAAAAGTTAGGAGTTCTGTAGCCAGGCTGAGCAATCTGCTGGCAGCGTGCACCCTTGAGGCCAGAATCCCTCCTCATCCCAGARGGGTGAGCTGAGGGTCACTGCTGTGAGGCCAGAGCTGCGTGGAGCCTGGGCTGGGGCTCTGTCACACTGCAGGTCTGGCAGTGGACAGGTTGGTGGTGACCACCCTCGCCAGAATCCACTCAGTAGCACGAGCACAGTCTGCATGTGCCAGCTGGTCTCTGCTCCAGAGAGTAGACAATTAATTTCAGCTGGATAACTACAAACCACACAGGGAGACAGCATTTTTGGATATAAAAGCATTTTATTTAGAGTCAGAGTTCAGTTGGGTTTGGAACTAGATGATCTGTAAGGTCCCKTCCAACACAAACCATTCCATGATTCTGTAATTTAATTGGATTACAGCTTGGTTTAAAATCAGAATACTTTTCCCTTGATAATGTACTTGCCACAGGGGTTTCTTTTTTAGTGTATGTGAAACTTTCTTAATTTTAATGGCAGGAAAAAAAGCACAAAGACTTACCCTGTAAAATTAATCTTCTTTGCTGCCTAAGAATTGCTCTGGGACTTCATGCTCACTATTTTTTCAAAACATGTATTCCACACAAACAACCCTGCTGTTTTCCCTACCCAGGACAAGCAGATATGCTCATATCTGTGCTTCTCAAAGATAAAGAGCTTCTCCACAAAGACAAGGTCACAGGTGGCACATCAAAAAACAGTGCTGGCACTTGTAAACTAAACTGTGAAACAGCCAGAGCTACTTTTTTGAGATACTTCTGATAGAAGTGCTTGTAAGGCACTTCTTACACCTTCTCTCCCCCCCGCCCCCTCTTAATTCAACAAGAAATCTGAATTTTTAGAGACTTCAATTGACTTTAATTGATTCTGTCTTGAGTTTATAGATCATATTAGGCATCRCATTGTATTTTTCTTAGCAGAGTCAGTCCAGTGCTGAACTACAAACTCAGCAGAAAATTCAGGCTGTTGAGACAGCCTGAACAATCAAAAACAACAATCAAACAGGTATTTATGCATTCAGTTCTAGTCAGAAAATGGTGAGGCAAAATTTCAGAGTTCTGATGAAATCTCTGTATTCTTTATGATARATTCTGGATTCACTGAACTCTGCTTACAGCTTCATGCTCAGTAACACAGCAGGTACAACCAAATTTCATCACACCCTGATGTAATCTGAGACGCCTGAAAGCCCAATAATAATTTTGCAGATTGGTAAATCATTAACCAGCTCAGAAATAGCACAGTCCAGTTCACAGAGGACTGTAAAGATCCATGAGTGTACGTGCAGGAAAGGCAACAGAAGGCAGCTAAATATCCAGATAAGACACTAACTTTTATTTKTCTTTTCTTTCAAGAGCTAATCCCTGTTGTTTCAATCTACAGCAACCCCCCTGAAAGTCAACGCATATGGTGTATCTGAAGAATTTGTTTGCTCAGATGGGATGAAGAATTCCAAGGACCAGCTTGTTGTTCAGTGAAGGCCAMTTTTCCAGCCCTCAGTACCTTTGTTTTGTCTTTGCAGGATGCGTGGACAGGCAGCAGCCCAGACAACGTTCCCAGCCTTTTATCTCTTCGGAGAGATAGAYCTCTTAGGAGGTCTCTCACAAAGCAAAGATAGTGGATGGAGGGATGTTACATTTTCACACAATCAATATTTCTCAATTAATAAATTATTAAATAATATTTGTTCCCTGCCTGTGCATTAATGTGCAAGCAGCTGCCAGATGAGAGCTATAAAAGCATATTCTAAGCCTTGCACAAACTTCGGTTTAGTACCAGGAAGTACCTGTCGATGAGAGATAAGCAGCTTGCCAGGATGCAAGTGGTATTAGTCTAGCAATTGCCTAAAATAATTTTCTGCTTTTGCCAGGAAACAATGCACTTTTTTGTTCTTGCTCAGTGCTCCACCCGTGGCCAGAGCAGGGCTCTCCCTTCGCTCCCCACGTGCTCTCACACTGACCTGGCCATGCCATCAGCCTTGATCTCATGTGCTGCCCTTTGGGGAACACACACAGGCTGTTTCCTACCMCTGAGGACTCTATCAACATCCTGATTCCTCACCAGGGTGCTCCATTATCCTCCTGGCCATGTCTGTGACCTTCTGCAGATGGAGCTGCTGGTAGCCGTGTCTAGACCAAGAGCAAATTTTCCTAAATATGCAGGTGTTTAACATTTTCAGCTTTTCTTCTTGCTGCAAGTGAACACAAGCTCAACATCCCCCCCAGAGGTTCTAACCACTAGCAGGTCTTCAAAGTGGCAATTAATCATCAGGAAAAGAAACAGACATTGGTGAGGGCTTTTTTTCTTTGTGAAGTACAACCGACAGTCTTTTATTTACATACTTCTATTATGTTTTGAGTAAAAAATTGAACCAGAGAGGTTTTTCAACTCTATCAACTATGAAAACAGAGAAACATGTTGTAAAACATGCTCCAGGCCTCCAGGGCAGACCAGCACTTTCCACAGCAACTTTCCCTCAGTCTTGTYGCTGGGTGAGGGGTGGCACAAGGTGTCTGCCAGCCTCCCCCACTCTCCAGCCTGTGTGGGCAAAGATGAGAATAAAAGGTATTATTTTTAAAAGAGATAAAATAAAAAGTCTYTCGAATTCCCATGGCTATTGTCCAGGGAAGCAGCGTGATTGCAGATAGGGCCCGCCGCAGGCTCCMGTGTCACCTTGGAGACTAGCTCCAGGCCTCCCAAAACAAGGGGGGGCCGAGGCAGCCAGGAGTGTAAACAAGTCGAACCAGATGGATAGAGGCTCTGCGGCAAGGCCACTGCCCATTATCACCTGAACTCACATCCTGAGCCCGAGAGAACCRGGCAGACAGAGGGGCACAGCACCGTCCCTGCCTCCAGCAACTCCGAGCCCTGAGGGGAAACCCAAAGTCCAAGACAGCTTTGCAGGTAAAAGATCGCTTCTCCCTTTCGCTGCCTCACTGTGAGTTTCTCTGATTGGCCAAAAGTGTTGTCTTTAATACAGGTAAATCTTTTAACATCTGTATACTGTATAAAGTTATATATGCAAAAGAGCAATTGCACTAATGTCCTCCTGCCAGAAAGCTGAAGCTGGGTGGTGCTGGTCACAATGGAGAGAGGGGTGACCGGCTGCTACATAGGGGTCAGGGGGCTGGGAAGCCAAATTTTTTAAGAGGTGTTTAGATGGCTGTCAAATACTCCTGCAGTTCCAATGCTCTTAAAATCTAATGAAATTACAAGAAGTAAACTAAATGTGTGCAGTTGGTTTAGCCCCCTTAATCTATTCTAAAACCCTGAGATCTCCTGCGCTGGGTTGGGAGATGTGTCACTCCTGTCTTTGGCAAGGACAGGGGTTTTCAGGAACCTGCGAAATCCAGAGGGAAGTATGGGTCTCTGTGTGTGATACTGCAGTGTTTTTTAGGATTTTCATAGGAGGCTCTTGGGCTCAGCTGAACGATAACATCTAAACAAGTGTTGCAGAGCTTAGTCTGCAACCCAACTCTTTCCAGGTTTAATCCTCAGGTGCCCGGGAATGTAAAGGCATCTGAGTACTGAACAGCCTAAGATTCTTCTGGAAAAATCCAACCCAAAATTTAAGTTTTTGTATTTGTTAGGGATAAAGGCAATGATTTCTATTTGGCCTGCACAACACAACACCACCCATAGAAACAAACAATGCCGGCAGTGTGGGATATTGTAATTGTTCATAGCCCAGGCTGTTAAACAAAACAAAACAAAACTCTCTAGCGTTCAAAATTAAAATAAACACTGCTGGTTAATTTCACTGAGGGAGCCATCTGATAATCTTGGATCTGATATAAAAATTAAAACCATATGGAGTAACCGTTACAACCTGTTCCAGTTTTATTGATGGTATTAATGTGCAACACATTTGTACATTATGCAGAGTTACATTCAGCAAACCCTGATTGCATCTGTAATTGGTTCACATTATCCAAAAAGGGGCAAGAGCAAAATGAAAGCAGAGCAAAGAACACGTGAATTAGTGTGATTCCTCCCTTCTTGCATTGATTTGTAATCTCTTTTTTACGAGACAGCCTAGGAAGGGTTTACCTCCAACTTAAGCCTGCAGCCAACAAAAGAAGTGATAGAAGTGTCACTATGGGCAAGGCTTGCATGTAGCAGGTTTTATATTTAACTTTTTCTGTATTTTATGGATGCACAGAAAGGGTTCTCAGATGYTTACTGCTGTGTGGCGTGAGAAGCCAGGCCCTGTTCAGCGAGGCTTCAGTGTGACGTGAAAGTGCAGTTACTTTGCAAACAGACTTTGATTGCTGAGTTTTGTATAGAAATGTTGTTGGTGATTTCAGTGTATAATTCTGCGCATTATACAGAATGTG